CAAGTCCTATATTCTAGAGGTACCTTTAGGTCCCCAAGTCCTATATTCTAGAGCTACCTTTAGGTCCTGAACTCCTATATTCCAGAGGTACCTTTAGGTCCTGAAGTCCTGTATTCTAAAGGTACCTTTGGGTCCTGAAGTCCTATATTCTAGAGGTAGCTTTAGGTCCCCGAGTCCTATATTCCAGAGGTACCTTTAGGTCCTCATGTCCTATATTCGAGAGGTACCTTTAGGTCCTCAAGTCCTATATTCTAGAGGTACCTTTAGGTCCTGAAGTGCTATATTCTAGAAGTACCTTCATGTCCTCAACCCCTATATTCCAGAGGTACCTTTAGGTCCTCAAGTCCTTTATTCTAGAGGTACGTTTAGGGCCTGAACTCGTATATTCCGGAGGTGCCTTTTGGTGCTCAAGTCCTATATTCGAGAGGTACCCTTGGGTCGACGAGTGCTTGCGTTGGGATTACGCTTGCGCCCTCAAGTTCGAGTATTGAGCGCTACCGTTGTATCGCAAAGTCTCACTATATGCAGAAACCATTAGGTTCTTCAGACCTACTTCTTTAGGCGCACCCTGCGACCATCAACTAATAGTGTATGGGTACCCTTAGGTCGCAATGTGCGGCCGGTAAAGCAGGAGTGATTCATTCACAAGCAATACTAGAAGGGTAATCTTATGCCGACATATCCTAGTGTTCGTTGTAACCATGCATCCTCAAATCATATTTTTCGACGCACTTCTTCACCTAAGCGTGCTATTCTTGAGTATCCTTTGCTCCTTAAAAACCAGTTGTAGTACGAGGTGAAAACTCGAATCCTCCTCAACCACACAGAGAGAGAATGAACTACTCCTCAGGCGTACTTTATCTCCGTGGAATACAACTCTGAGCCCTGAACAAATTCATTATAGAAGAAAGCGCGGTGAAAATTTTGGAGACCCCCCCAAACATCACTTGTCATAGTCACGACAGCGTCAACCAACACTCTTCTTGAAATCTTATTTATCCAACTACCAACAACTAGATTTGAAGATGCGTTCCCGTAACTATCTGTCTGGCGAACCACTAGTCATGTTCGAGTCAACCCTAGGGCTGCCGAGGATGCTCTGTCGATTCGTGGGTATATGAGTAGGTCACGCTCCTTTTTTTCGGATGAAATAGAATCTCACAATCTCATTGGTTCAAATATTCATCAATGATATATCGGCAGCCCTTTATTTTCTTATTACTCGAACAACCACTAATCAGCTTCAGGTGAATCTTAGGGCGATCGAGAACGCTCTGTCGATTGATGGGTATATGTGTAGGTATCAACTGTTTCTCCGCCGATGAAATAGAATCTCGCAATCTGATGGCTCCAAAAATCAACCCATGAGATTTCAGAAGCCCATTATTTGTTGCTCGAAGAACGACTAGTGCGGTCCGGGCGAACCCTAGGGCTATCAACGATGCTCTATCGATTGATGGAAATGTCTGTGGGTATCGGTCGTTTCTCTTCCAACAACATCGCATCTTCCAATATAATTGGTCCCAAAATCAACCAATCAGATTTGGGAAAGCCTTTTTCTTATTGCTCCAACAACAAGTAGTCATCTCGAACCAACCCTGAAGTTATCGACAATGCTCTATAGGATGACGGTATAATATGTATGCATCTTTACGCGTTTAATCAACGATACCATATTCCCACGGATTGGTCGCTTATTGATGCAAAAGATTTATTCTTGTTTTTTTTTCAATTTCTTCCATAATCATCGGTGTGACAGGATTCAAGAACGCCAGGGTATCCTTTCTGGTCATTGTTGATGACATAATCCTACTTCTGTAGCATCGCTTCACGATCTCAGGGTATCTTGTTATCATAGAAGTTGAAAAACCAAGTTTATCCTGTAGAACACCACTTTACCACCTATGGGTATCACTGTATAATCGAGTTCTGGCTCATATCGAAACCTCTGCAACATGCAGGCTCATGATCGATCACTGTCTCTCTATAATAGAACTTGATGACCTCGAAGTACCAATCGATAATAGGACTTGAACATCTTGCAGTATCCCACCATAATACCAGTTGAGGACCTCGAGATATCCAGATATAATAGGACTTGAGCACCTCGAGCTACCACTCTATAATGGGAGTTGAGCACCTTGAGGTACCCCACTGTGATAGAACTTTAGAACCTATGCTTATCCGTAGAGGGTAGCCCTTGAGGACCGATGGGTAACCCTATAGGGTAGCCGTTGAGGACCTATAGGTACCCCTATAAGGCAGCCCTTGAGGACCTACGGTACACTCTAAAAAAAACGTTTTCTCAGAAACCGAAACCCCTTCAGAAACCCTTTCGAAAACCCATAAACGTATCCGAAAAGATTTCCGGACTCATGTTAAGTTTTTGAAAATACCTTCTGGGTTTCCGAGCATCCGGAAACCTATGGGTTTTCGAAAGATAGGTCCGGAAACCCTCAACCGTATTCTCAGAAACCCTGGTGCTATTTTTGAAAACCGATTTTGATTTAAAAACCTTCTCGAAAACCTTTGCGTTTTCGATATTTTTTTATCGAAAACCTTTTTGGGTTTCCGGGCACCGGAAACGGTGGAAGCGTTTCCGAGAAATCAAGCATGGTTTCAGAACATGTCTCGAAAATTCTGAAGGGTTTCCGAGTCTTCGGACA